CCGAGATTACAGATTTCTAGATCCAACCGATAATTGACAACCGTAAACCGTAGCACAGGCTATTTTCAAAATTCGTCATCCGTGGGATTTGAACTCTAGACCTGCCACTTGGAGAGGGTGACAACTAGACCACTACACTAAGTCGCCACACCCTAATACCTTTGATTTTATTTCATTCGCATTAATCACTAGTATAAAGATTATTAATTGAAATTTTTCATAGTATTTGTTGTCGCAGTTGATGCTGAAATTTGGGGTTTTGATTTGAAAATATAATGATAAGCCCTGCTAAATCTACATATACTCTTTAAAAATTTTTTGCTGCACTACACGATACAGTATAATCTTGATATAATGAAGCTCTGGAGCTGGAGGTTTTCTTCCTTATATCAGGGCTAATTTAAATATAAAAATTAGAAATGACCTTAGTGTTATATACTGTACTGGGAAAATCTTAGGTTGATGCTTCACTAGGTGGGTGTGACACAGAAATTTTTCAAGGTATAACTTATATTAGGTCTTTGCCCTGAAAATCACCTTTCAACATTTCCGATCAGGCTAATTCGGGAAAAACTATCGGAGGATGATTTTCAAAGCGATGACACTAATATCGATATTTCAATATTTAATATTAATTTTTGAATCCTTCGAAACACTATAAATTTTAAATAGATGAAAAACAACTCTGAATTAAATGAACTGATTGAGTATCGCTAATAATAACTAAGTTTGAAAATTTTTGTTACAAATAAAATCAATTAGAAGCAAATTTAAATCTTAAAACCAGTCCATAGTCCTGGTTTTTGGTTGTTGAATGTAGTTTTTTGAAATTTTTTTTTAAAATGGTAAAAAATAATTTACTTTATGTAGATTGCATTATTTGTGAAACGTTTGTACGATATCTCTGATTTCAGATAGTATAATTTTAAGGTATAAAATCTCCTCTTAATCGTATATATTTTTTTTAAAAAATCCTCCTATATTTTCAAACAATGTCACAAAGTAATCTTACGGGTAACTATTGTTTTGAGAGAATCCGAAACGTTTTGCTAGAGTGGATTTTTAAATGAAAATATTATCAATTATAACCGTTAGCCAAAGAACGCCGCCATATTGTGAATCGTAAGTACTATGACAAGAATAAAGAAAAAATTCTTAAAAAACGTCCAAAGGTTTCGGAAATTCTCTCTCTTCAGAAGCAAGTTCTTGAAGTCCAACGCATGCGGAAATATCAGAAACAACTTTTGTCTTTTATCAAAGAGTGTGGATTAACACCACCCCCCCAGTGATTAAAGTCAATTACCAGTATGTTTTTTCATTATCAAAATTTTTCTTTTCTTTATATTACCTTTTTCATAGGAATTCATATTTCTCAGGGAGGAAATTGCCATTGCCCCAGAAACTTCTTTAGAGCTCAGTAATAGCAGTAATGCAATAAATAATGGACTATCCAATTATCAGTATGTCTTTTCATTATCAATATTTTTCTTTTCTATATATATTGTCTTTTTCTTAGGAATTCATGTTTCTCAGGGAGGAAATTGCCCCAGGAACTTCTTTAGAATTCAGTAATAATGGACTAGTACTAACTTGTCCCTCCTATGTTTCAAATGTGATGGCTAAAATTGATCAGGATATAACTTCAATCAATTACCGTATGCTTTATTATTATTATTTTTATCGTTTTTTTTTATTTACTTTTCTTTAAATTTTTTATGTTTTTTTTCCTATCTATTTCTAAATCATACATGTAGATCTTCCGGGGCCCAATTTTATACCTTTTTTTGGAATGGATTGATTCCATCCTCTTCTCAGTACGTTTTTTTTCTCATTATCTTTTATCCTTTTTTTTTGTTTTACTTTATTCTCAGGATTTCACGTTTTTAGAGATGAGATTGCCATTGAAAATTTTCTGCCTCATACGTATGAAAATGATAATAACCTTGAGTCCATTTTTAATTTGCATTACGAAAAGTTGTAATTTATGGTTTAGCATGCTACTAAAATAATCATTACATATACAAATCGCATTTACAATATTTAATATATAATTACACAAATGTATATGCTAAAAAATTTTCAAATAAATATTTTATAGGGTATGTGGATAGTTAAAGTTTCTAATAATAAAACTTTTTAATAAACAAATAGATTTTTATACAATGAATATAAAAAAAATCTTTATGTTCATATGTATTTTTTAGATAAAAATAATTAAATCGAATATAAACTAAATTTTAGAAGGAAGGTGTATTTTGGTAATTATTAGCAGTAAACAACATTTGATCTATGAAGGCAATTAGCTAATTCTGATCAATAGATCAAAAATATTCATCATCAAAGATTATGTATATTTTTACTGATAAGCACAAAATTTATATTTTGCACAAATGATGATATCTTGTGATCTAGTGATCTGAATTAGCTCCCACAAAAAATTTTACCCCCTCCGTGATTTTTATCCAATGAAACCCTGTCCACAATACCCCTATTTCCCTTATATGTGAGGTTTATAATAAAAATTATAGTTGATTTCATCTAGAGCTAACAAATTAATGTTATTGGCATCTCTAGAATAACTATGTACAACAATTCATAAGATTTTTAAAACTTTGAGTGAAGATATTTTGATTCTATGAGTTTGTATAATTAAAATAAAAAAGTTCATCGAAATTGTTTATCAAATTTGATAAATTGATGAGATTCTGTAGAATTCGAATAAAAATTTTCCACAGAATTCATCAAGCAGTTGCTAAGATATCTTCAATCAAATTTTTAAAAAATATATCATCATAAAACGAACAATAACCTGACTCTAATCGCAACCTATCATATTCTATCATATCTTCGATCAAATTTAAAGAATTTTTAAAGCATATATCACATAAAAACAGCTCTAAAAATGATTTTATTTATTTAAATATCATCATAAAACGAACAATAACCTGACTCTAATCGCAACCTATCATATTCTATCCTTAAATTCATCCTAATTTTTTTAACATACTATTAACTAACAAAAAAACATGCTAAATACAAGATCTAATGAAGCAAGACCCAATGAAACATAACCCAACGAAGTGCAAGACTCCAAAGATTAAATGAAGTGAAAGACGCAACGATGCAACGATGCAAGACCCAACGAAATGTAAGACACGACAAAGCAAGACCCAACGAAGCAAGACCCGCACATTTATGATAGGCAGCCTAAATATTTAAAAAAAACTGGTTATTGTAGATTTTGAAATTCGCACGTGGCATTGATATCCGAAGAGTCTTGTAACTGGCAATTTAGCATCAAAATAAAATCAGAAATATTATCTCTTGGATCGATGTCGAGTTAAATTGGAAGTTTAGCAATGTTTTATAATAAATAAATTACAATGCCTCTACATATTAAAATATAATTGTAAACCTTGACACCTCAAGAACTTTAAAGAATATTCTACTATGATACACAGGACTGCTGATCATCCGATTGACGAGGATTTTGCCATATCGTAACCTGATTCAATTGCGGTTAATATTCATGTTTAGAGATAATATGAAACAGTAAGAGTCTAAATGCTATGAACTTTTATAATTATTAATGTTTTTTTTTTTCTTTTTTTTTTTTTTGCTGCCTTATTTAAGATCGCTGTTGTGTCTGAATTAAGGATTTGAGCCTGAATTAAGATATCTGAATTGAGGCATCTTTGTTGAAGAAAGCAAATTAAGGTATCTGGATTAAGACATCTATCTGAGTTAAAGAAAAGCCTGAATTAAGATATCTGGATTAAGATATCTGAGTTGAAGAAAAGCTTGAATTAAGAATCTGAATTAAAACATCTGAATTAAGTGAAAACCTAAATAATAAGTACATTCAATATTCAAAAAAAAAGTATAAAAAGATATAAACTCCGATTAAACTCTCACGTAAATCGGACTTTAAAAAAAAGAAAAAAAAATTTAGAAACTCAAGTAGATGGAAATAGATGGAAATTAATACTGATACTACAGAAATAATCAACCTTCTGCAAGAAGAAATCAATGATCTCAAACTATTAATACGGCTACTTGAAGCAATTATCATAGGTTTAATAAGTTCAGACACCACTGAAGAACAAAGAATTGAATTAAGGAATAGATTCTTTAATCTTCAACGGAGAATATAAGAACTATACCGGTCATGACGGCAAAAACAGAAGAAGAAACCGTATCTTGTATCAAATCAGGACTAATCGAAATCATTGAAGAAGCAGTTAATGTTACCAATATGATATCACCTGTTTTCCCAATCGCTGCTTTAATAAACAACATATTTACATTTTATGAAAATGTCCGATTAAATGAGAAGATTTCCAAGTCTACAATTGACCGAATTGTATCCACTAAAGCAGCAATAAAAATAAAATTTTTGAAAATACAAAAAATAAAACATAAAGAGAAATCTCAAAATTTGCAATATCAAGAACTTTCTTGTAAATTTCAAACGTTGCTGACAGAGATTAAAGTTTTTGCAGAAAAAGTGCTTCAATTAAGAGGTATTAAACCAATTCTAAATGCTACTAGTATAAGAAAGAGATTTGCAGAATTAATGGAAGAGTATGATTCCTGTATAAGAGATCTTAAGTTTACAATGATTGTTGATGACAATATCTTAAGAGATGATCTTGTTGACGCAGTTAAGGTATAAATTTTGTTGTAAACTACGTCTATTTCACATGATAATATAAAACAATTACTGATATAAACTATATAGTCAATGAAAGAAACTCTCGCGGAAAATAAGCAAAAAATAGAAATTGTTTATCAAGAAGTGTGTCATGTTAAAAGGCAACTTCTAGAAATCACAAACTTCAACAACTTGATTTTCAACAAAAATCACGAGCACTTGTTGTAGCTAGTACTAATTAACACTCTATTTGGTACCCTGTTACAAATTTCAGAATTTATAAGCTTGTGTTTTAAAATTATAACTGTATTATTAATTATATAGTTTAAAATTTTGGCGAATACTGAAATCATGGCCGCTGGATACCAAATTTCAGATACTATTATTCAAACAGGCATCGATTCATACTGTATATTTAAAAAAATCATACAAAATTTAAATTTATTACCAAAAATTTATTAATAAATTTTAAAAATTATATTAAGTTTTTTTGCATTTGTTTATTGGTTATTTATGTTACACTGTATATGAAAATTTGGTATCTCAATAGAAAGGTTGATGGCTTTAGGATGTACCCAAAGTAATGAATATATAACAAACTTAACGATTGTACAATAGAAAAATATTATTTAACTATTAGTTGGTGATGTAAACAAAGGCATCTTGACAACCACATGACTAAATTCGATAAAATTTTTTCCTTTGAACTTTCGGATTTATAAAATCCAAATAAAAGGAATTTGGTTAGGTGATTGATACCTTCACAAAACGTGCTTAAATTTAAATTTTAATTACAGAATTATTCTTTCGAAATTAACTTGTATTAACTATTAAAAAATTTCAATTTATTTAAATTTATGAATTGTATAATTAATTTAAAAATAAATCTATAAACCAGAATACCAGAATTAGTATTTGATTCAAATTGTTTAATTAAAACATTGACAAACATCATTTTTAGTTTGATAAATATTAAGAAAATAAATTAAAAATATTAAGCAGTTAAGTTCGCCTTTATTTTTTATATATTTTATTATTTCATGATTCTTAGTTATTAGCCAAGACAAAGTTATATTAATTAATGTTTTTATGCTAGCATCATAATTCCCATATGAAGAGTAATTTACAAAAAGTCCAATAATATTATAAATATTTGTGAAAAAATAAATAAAGAATTGTAAATAGCTCCATATTATTATTGCAAAAAAAGGAGATTGCTTTTTCTCACTAAGATTATTATTAGCTTTAACTAATATTATAACTAACTATAAAGTTACATATAAATCAATAATAAAATCAAAAACTATAATTAAAGTAATAAATGGCGCTGCTTTTTGATTAGGACTACAACTAACAATTTTAAGATTTGTATCAAAAAAAATATTTGGATTACTATAAACAAGTATAGGAACCTAAATATTTGTAAGATAATAATTATAACGTGTAGTTTAATATTATTTAATACTTACAAATTTTAATTAATTTACTTACCGAAATTAAATTCCTTATAAAAAATATTACAAGATTAAAATTCTTAAGTTGTCTAATCTTATTTAAAACAATAGTTGTCAAAAGCCATAATAAAAAGGCTGTAAAAGAGATGTGAAATATAATATTGGCAATAACTAATGAATAAGCAACAAAATTGCAATATGTTATTGAAAAGCTATCTGAATTTTTAGGAATCATATTTGAACAAAATAGAATAATGAATCTCCAAGTGCTTGAAAAGTTAAACATAAATTTGATTAGATTTTTGATTCTTTTTTCTTTACCTTCTTTGATAAAATAATGTAAAGAAAATAGCGAATAATAAAAACATAACTAAAAAAAAAAATTAATTAATTGCATAAATTTCCTATATTTAACCAAATCTTAATAATATATACGCACTGCTGTTCCTATTCCAAACAAAAAACTTGTCCAAATTAAATCAAAAAATGGAGATAATTTCATCTTTAGCTTTTTCAGATGTGTTCTTTTTTTTTTTTTTTTTATAGAAATACTCAATTATTTGAGTTTTTTTTTTAATTGTTTTATTATTTATTTTTAAATCATAATATCAGAAATGGCATTATATTGGTTTGAGTTGTACATATTTAAATCAAATTATTTAGAATTTAATTAATATAAAATGTGAAGTTTTGCTAAAAAAATTATTTTAATTATAAATAATCCCCTTTTAGTGAATATAATTGTATTCAAGATCAAACAAATTGTATAATACCAATATAAGGTGTAAAATTTAATTATATTCAAATTACTTGTGATACCTTCTTGGTTTTACTCGATATTCCTTAATAAATTTATGAAAAATTGCAAAAGTTACTTGAAATTTTTAATTATTTTTTAAATTATAGCAATTTATAATATTCTTAAATCCAAAATATAAAACTCAAGTAAAAGACTAATAAATATTGTGATAACAAACGCAAATATGTGAAGCACGAATTTATAACTACAAAATTTATTAAAGATTAAAAAAGGGTTTCTTAATTAATATTTAAATAGAAATGTAAACTGATTACCAATGTTTATTTTTTTCCAATTTGATTTCACCTCGCAAAATTAAAATATTCTTCGCCAATCGTTGATTTTCAATTTCTAATCTTTCAATTTCACCTTGCAAAATTAAAATATTCTTCGCCAGATTATATTTAGTATAATTATTGGCCATAAGATGTATTTGTTGATACATCATTAACTAATTAAAAAATATATATATGATAAAAATATCAAATAACCTTACAAAAATGTATTACAATTTTTTACATTCTATATGCTTCCAACTCCGAAGACATTTTAATTTCGTTCAAATTTTTAATCGGAGATTATCATATAAACCAAATATTTATGTGACACATAATAACGAATAATATAGAATAACTGTAACTGGTTATCAACTTTATTGTGAATATACATTAAACTTCATATATTGTGTAAAAAAATAAATTAATATAATTTTTCCGTTCAATTGAAAACCGGTTAAATACAAGTTTATTGCACATAGTAATTATATTAAATAAAATTACAACTGTATATATTTCAAAAAAAAATTATATACGCGTAAAACTAGATAAAACCAGACTTATTTTGTTGAAAAGAATCCAAACGTGAAATTCTCGAAAAAATTTTAACCTTTAATTTTTTTTTTACAAAAAATGAGTTCTATCACACATTTACCAGATGAAACCCTCGTAGAAATATTTAAATATCTAAAGAATAAAATCTTATTTTCATGCCTCCTTGTAAACCGTAAATGGTGTAGACTTATTGTTCCAATATTATGGAGATCTCCCTGTTTTAAAAATAGATGTGTCATCGAAATATGTCTTCTAGAACTGAATGCCGATGAAAAAGCACAGTTAATCCCATTTAAAATTAACTTTCCAGCAAATTCTTTGATGCCACTATTTGAATATACAAGCTTTATTACTTCTATTGATGGTCGGTGTTTGAGAAGAGGAGTGTTACATTTTTTTGAAGAGTTCGAAAAAAGTATTTATTCCGTAGCAGCTTCTTTGCTTTCAATGTTTTTACGAAAAAGTAAAAAACTTAAAACTTTAAGCCTTTCAAATTATACCCTTGGTTCACTTGGAGGAAAAGAAATAGCAAATGCACTTATCGAAAACAACAGTTTAATTTATTTGAATCTTTCAAATAATCAGCTTGGCTCCGATGTAGGAAAAGCTTTAGCTAATACACTCTACAAAAACAATAAATTGGCAATTTTAGATCTTTACCTTAACCAACTGGGGACTGAGGGCAGGGAAGTATTAGCAGATGCCCTTCTTAAAAATTACAATTTAACTTCTTTGGATCTTTCAAACAATAACCTTGATGCTTCAGGAGGAATCACGTTGGCAAATGCTCTCTGCAAAAACAATACGTTAACTACTTTACTCCTTTCCAATAATCAATTTGGATCTTATATAGGAAAACCACTAGCAAATACTCTTTGCAACAATAACGCTTTAACTTCTTTATATCTTGCAAATATTAATCTTGGTTCTGGAGGGAAAGTAATAGCAAATGCTCTTATCGAAAACAACACTTTAACTTATTTGGATCTTTCATCTAATCAGCTTGACTCTGATGTAGGAATAGAGCTGGCAAATGCTCTTTGCAAAAACAATACGTTAACTACTTTAAATATTTACCTAAATCAAATTAGGTTTGAAGGTGGTAAAGCATTAGCATCCGCTATTCGCAAAAATAGTGCTTTGACTTCGTTAGATCTTTCATATAATTCTCTTGGAAATGAAGTGGGAAAAGAATTTGCAGATGTACTTCAAGTGAACACAACTCTAGACACTCTGATAGTTGATGGTAATGAATTTAATCCCGAAATAATGAAAAGGTTATACGAATTAAAAAGTGGCGGTTTAAATATAGATTTAGATTCCGAAAATGATAGCGTAACTGTTTGTTGATTTTACAATTTTCGATTTTACTTTCAACTTTTTGTCGAATGAGAAAATTTGTTTTGTTAATTAATCATTTTATTTTTTTGAAAATAAAGTTTGTGATTTAGTCACTTCAATCAAATCGGTCGGAATGGGTCAGAATTGTTAAATTTTGTTTAAAATCGTCAAACAGACTCATTTGTTGATGAGATATCCAATATCCAAGAATTTAGTATCTGATGGATAATCACGTGATTTCACGCACTAGGCACGAAGCTGGTAAAACTCTTAACCAAACGCGAACAAGGTATATAAATCCCGCGCGGGGGTTGGTTTTTCGGAAATTTATGGAAATGTGTCATAATTTTACCCCGACTCGGAATATTTCGGAACTCGGCCAGATTATGACGCTGCCCGAATATCCCGCACATCACGCGCAGTAGCTATCACTACAGCTAGCAAAGTAATGGCGAAAAAATTAGCAGTCCTGTAATAAGAAATTTATTTTTGTTAGTGCTAGTGTTTCAGGCAAAACCCAATTTTGCAGATCATTTGCAGATAAACTAGTTTCGGAAGGTTTCGGACTTATGGGGCGAAACTAATGGGCGAAATATTTCGAATTTGGAAAATAATTTCGCCCGAAACACTGGTTAGTGCGAGATCCTCGATTTTGATTGGCTAAGAGTGATGATCAAAAAATTTAAAAAGATTTTTAAGAAATAATACCAACAAATTTTAATATATTTTGTTCGCATGATCTTGGCAAGTTCACCTTTATAATACAAAAAACGTAGGTAAGGTCCTATCAAATACTGAAATAGAAAATGATTATCATT